TTCACTTTGAAATGAGAACAGCGGAGGGACAGTGCTGCCATTGTTACACCGACATAAAAAGCTGTTTTGTCGCTGGTGAAAGAAGTAAACAGGAGACAAAGGGCTGTTAACATCATGACATGAGCAAGAGTTTCCTGGACACTGAGTTTGTTGTGAAAGAAAGAGCTGGGTACAAGAGTAGATGATGTAAAAAAGAGGAAAACAGTAACACACAAAACTTGTCTTTTCTCTCTTTATGAACTCTGATGAGTTTTGAAAATTGAATTCCACAAAAAAAAAGTCTTTGTGTCCTGAGAAAACTGAGACGTAAAACAATAAACGTACCTTCAAGGTAAAGGCTTTATTAAAAATGAAGAATATCAGCTTATTTATTTGACTCTTAAATGCACAAGATCACAGACTAAAGTTAATATTGATGCCTGATATCTTAAATCTGAATCCAAATATTTCCGTTGTACTGAGTTACAAACATTTTGGTTTTTATTTATTTCTATTTTTAAAAACTAACAAACAAACCGAAAGGCGAGGGGTTCACCTGACAGCAACACATTCATAATGATTTGATGATGGTGGATCTTAAAGGGCTGCAAGGTGGATTGGTGGTTAGCGTTGTTGCCTCGCAGCAAGAAGGTCACTGGTTCGCGTCCCGGTGAGGACACATCCGGGATCTTTCTGCATGGAGTTTGCATGTTCCTGTGCAGCGTGGATTCTCTCCGGGTTCTCCAGCTTCCTCCCACAAGGTCCAAAAACATGTTGAGGTTAATTGGTGATTCTAAATTGTGTAAAGTGTAGCCCTGTGATAGACTGGTGACCTGTCCAGGGTGTCTCCTGCCTTCACTCTAAGTCAGCTGGGATAGACTCCAGCCCCCATGACCCTAGTGAGGATTAAGCGGTGTATAGATAATGGATGGATCAGTTGAAGATTTATTTTGGAAAGTTTCCATTTGAAAAAAAAAATCTCATGTTTTAAGTGAAAATTGCTCAAATTCAACATCATTCTTATTTAAAACTTCCTCTACATTTACAACTTGTCCCATTTCCAAACCAGCTCATCCATCCTGACACACTGTGTCAGGCCAGATGTTTCTGCACTACAGCTGCTGATCTCCAGAGGGCGCTGCCTCACTCTACTAAACCAACATGAGCAGCAGACAGATGTGCTGGGACTGAAGAGGCAGCTGAGCACATGACAGGACAAAGTTCCAAGTGACATTTCTCACATGTATTCACTCATTTCTTTGGCAGACTTCCTTTCGCCAACAAGGACCGTCTCCACAGTCTCTCTGAATTCAGGCGTTTATTGTACAAATATGAGGCTTCACAAAACAAACAGAACAGGATCATAGAGGCTCAGTGGTTTGGATGCATCCTCCTGTGTGCTGCCGGGTTGTTTATTAGAGTCTGTTTACTGTCTCTGCACATCGTCCCAGTATACAGGACGGATGCACAAATAATAAAATAATAATAATAGTCATTGTGGTCTCATGATTCTTTGCAACCTTTGTGAGAGCAGCACAGCCACGAACAGAAGTAAATAAAGACGTGTACTTTGGACAGTTATTCAAAAAACAAACAAAAAAACTCAAGTTGATTTCTGCAGATTGCTGCAGCTTACGATAAGATGCACTATTTGTGTGGCTGTAAAAATATGGTAAATGGTCTGCACTTATATAGCGCTTTTATCCAAAGCATGCTGCCATGCAAGGTGCTGCCTGCCATTGGGAGCAACTTTGGGTTCAGTGTCTTGCCCAAGGACGATACGACTGTGAAGGAGCGGGGGATCAAACTGCCAACCTTGTGATTGGATCTTCACTTGAGAATTGCTGCGCCCGTTAAAATACTGAACTTCTGCACAAGGAAGTGACATGCATCTAGGTCAGGGGTGTCCAATCCTGGTCCTTGAGGGCCACAGTCCTGCATGTTTTAGATGTGTCCCTCCCTCTTCCAACACACCTGATTCAAATGATCAGTTCATCATCAAGCTCTGCAGAAGCCTGATAACAATCCTGATCATTTGAATCAGGTGTGTTGGAAGAGGGAAACATCTAAAACATGCAGGATTGTGGCCCTTGAGGACCATGATGGGACACCCCTGATCTAGGTGATATGTCTTTGTAACTATCCATCCATTATCTATACACTGTTTAAACCTCATTAGGGGGGTTGACTCAGGGTGAAGGCAGAGGTCACCCTGGACAGGTCACCAGTCTATCACAGGGCTACACTTAGAGACAGTCAACCAAGCACACTCACATTCACACCTACAGACAATTTAGAATCACCAATTAACCTCAACATGTTTTTGGACTGTGTGGGAGGAAGCTGGAGAACCCGGAGAGAACCCACGCTGCACGGGGAGAACATGCAAACTCCACGCAGAAAGATCCCAGGTGTCCTCACCAGGATGTGAACCGGTGACATTCTTGCTGTGAGGCAACGATGCTAACCACTGATCCACCTTGCAGCCCTCTTTGTAACTATATTATGAAACAAACTGTATTATATTAAAATACTGTACAGTTTTAGGGTGAGGTCACGGATATTCTTTAGTATCCAGTGGTTTTAATATGCTTGTGTGCTTTTTTTTTTTAGCTAAAATGATTTTCACACAGAAATGGAGTTTAAAGTCACCTTATCAAATTGGAGTATTAACTTT